ACTAAATAAATAAAGGTATTAGACTGAAGTTTTACTGTGATCTCTCATATACGTACGTCCAAGTCTATCGTGTCAAACCAAAACACTGCAAGTCCCAATATGGTGTTATAGTATTTTGTAATTTCATAACAAGAATCTTTCGACTGTTATCAAGGTAAAACAAATTTATTCGCTTTTCAAAAGACTTTTTTGCATTTATAACGAGTAGATTATTTAATATGTAATATACAAATTAAGTAAAATCATTGACTTTCAATTATATGGACGTCGGGTCAGCGCTAAAAAGTGTCCGAACTTATAGGGCGTTAAAATCGTATACAGAGCGTCATTCATGCTTTAGTCTTCGTTTGTTGGACTGACAGCGAAGCAAGCAAAATTAGACAGTACTGCGATGACATTACAATTTAAATTCAACGTTTTAGCCTTTTCATATTCCTTTACATGTCACTACGTTTAAATAGGTTGACTTGGGACATTTTTTTCGTGGTTTTTGTATTAGACCCGTCGTCCATTTATTTGTAAGTCAATGAGTAAAATGTTCTTTCTTGTTGTTAACTTGAAAAATAGAAGGAAAAGCCTTTTTGAAACATTTTCTCAAAATGCTGTTTTTGATATTGTATTGGTTTGACACGGTAGCGAAACGGTTGGAAGGTGCTAAACATTTCAATGATAGGACACTTTCTGGAGCGACTATAACATTTTTTTGTATGATACCAAATGGCGAGACGAACAAGTGCGCCTCGTGGTAAGTAGGACTTGCAGTGCCACTCAGAGCTTTGAATAGCAAAAATCTAGCCACTACGGGTGTCACCCGGAGACATAAGTTGCCAAGTCCCGAGTACCTAAGTGGAATGCAGTAATGCTTGCATTATTGCTTGGCAGCAGAAATAGGTAAGATGGAAGTACTTGGACGAACTCTTCTGGATTCAAGGGTCTCTATTGCTACTAAGATATAAGCCGCTTGTGGTACTGACGTAGCCTATATAGTCATTTATACAATATAAATCTCGGTAGATAGTACATAATGATGGTTCTTAAAGTCGAGTAGTGTTTAGGCCATGAGGTTTTGCCGAGTAATACTTTAATACACGGTAATACTTTTTCTACGAGTAAATAAAATAATGAAACAGAACCAATATTTAATGTATATTTGGTTAACAATCCATGACAACAAACGCAATTTTTTTTAAATAAATTTTAATCCTTTTATTAGGGTAGGCAACGGTTCCACCATACAGCGTCTTCATATATTTAAAAGAAAGCTAAAGAAACGCTACAAAACAAAAAACCAAAGATGTAATAGAACTGGCTAAGTACCACATATATTTTAATTTTTTTTTAAGATTTATTGCCTGATTTCAAGACTTGTAGGCCAATTTAACCAATCAAGTGGCCTACCATAGCCTTTCCAAAAACAATCTTATTTCAATGTAAGCTCAAAATAAGCTTATTACAATATTACTCAAATTCGTACCATGACGAATCTGTCACCCAAGTATTATGTCAAGTTATATCAAGTTAAGTATTATTGCAAAAGTGATTGAAAGAACGAATGATTTCCCAATATTGTCTATTCCTTACTAAAAATAGGAAAGAGATAACGCTATGTAAACTATAAAATGCCATCTCTTTCTTTTTTGATGTTCCGAATCGTCTTATAGTAGTATAATGTTGAAGTACTTAATGTTATTTACATTCAGAGAATTTTGACTGTTAAAAAAGAAAAGTATGTAATAATAAAATCTATTAAAATTACGTTGTTTTCAACAATTATTCAGTATTTTCATGATGAAAAATAAATAAAACAAGCTGAATCTTGATAGTCACGTTGTGAATTCGGAACTATAGTCAAGTGTCAAATATTAGTTTCGCCAAGGAGCATAAAGATGGGGCTGTTATAATTGTCCGAAATAAACATGGCATATTTTTATTTAACGAAAAATTATTTACTATGTGCTAATAAATAAAAAATAAACAAAACATTGAAGAGATATATGTAAATAAATAAGATCAACTTAATTTTTAATCATTACAAATAAATACAGGCATATGTAACTATTTTAAGATTGCTAAATTTGACATAAGAGCAATATTACTTTAATGTTAAAGTCGCGTCATAGTACGAACTGAGTGAATGAATCGTCACAAAGCTGCCAATAAAACATCATAGTTTTAACATTACAATAAGCTTTCTTTAAGCGCGTTGTAGTACGAAAAGTCAATGTAAGGTTAAAATAATATTGTTTTAAGAGGTTGTGGTAGGCCCCAGGAGGCAGTATATAGCGTTCGAATAAGGCACAGACCACATAAATACAGAGTAAAGTCCTAATTGATATTTTAATTGCCAAAAATACGACGTTCTTTTTTTGAAAGGTTGTACTAAAGTACTGTTACCCTAATGATTTTTTTCAGCTCTGTGGCGAGTACCATGGACAATAGAATTTTGATTCAGAACTAAAAAGTGGCCTTTATGATGTGGTTGATATTATAATTGACAGATTAAAGTACAGGTGTAGAAAAATTACATTTTCATAAATGCACTGTGACCCTAGTGCAAGAATGTCAATTTCTTTAAACTTATCTTTCGAAGACACAATGTAATTGTATATAGATATCGTTACCCTATGCTAAAGGGGAAATAGTTCATTTGCAATGTGACTACACGCGTTTCTTCAAGTTACTACAACTATAGTCAATCGCTTCTATCAATTGTTTGAATGTTTTTTTTATCATCGGCCGTGGAAAAATAACAATACAATAGATACAGACGACCATTAAATCGAGAGCGTGAGTGGTTCAAGTACTGCAGAGAAATTGTATTTATCTGTATCTACTTCGATAGAAACAAGTGGTTTAACTCTTTGGAAATCGTGTCAAAGGCTTTGGTTTGTTTCCGGGTAAAAATTAGTAAGCAAAAGCTACGTGTAGAAAACTCTACGATTTTTTTTTAAATCCCACAAATTATTTAGTATTCGGTACCCACAGAAGTATTCAACGGTGGTTTTTCAAGTTTAAGCACAATCAACTGGTAAATTTTGATCCAACGACGTAAAAAAAATAAAAATGTGACGTGTGATTCATTTTTAACTGACTTCAAAAAAAGGAGGAGATACTCAATACGACTGTATTTTTTTGTGTGTATGTTACGCGATTACAACCGACATTTGTGAACTGATTTGGATAATTCTTTTTTGTTCGAAAGGGGGGTAACTCAGTAATGTTCCCTTTCAAATTTGTAGAAAAATATTCTTTCTACAAGGTTGATAAATTAAGGAATGAATCTGGTTTATTCGATTTAACCCATTTTCCGTTAGCCGATTTTATAAATATTTATAAAAGATTTAATAAAACTTGGCAAACACATAGATGTAATTCCACAAACTTTTTAGATCAACTCCCGTAGCATGGCTACGCATGATAGTTGCGACGCGCGCGATAACTGAAATAAGCGCGCCCTATTGGCTATCTAAATTAGATCTGATTGAGACAGTCAATAGCGCGCGCTTATTTCAATTTTATCGCGCGCGTCCCGACTATCATGCGTAGCCACACTACGGGGGCAGGTGTTTTTTTATTTTTTATATTGGATGTATATGTATACCAACATACTTTTTCCAACGATATACGAAGACAAAAATGCTTTTGTTTCAAAATTTCATTTTGGTATGAACAACATACAAAATAAGGCTGTCAGATGTTTAATATATGCAGCAGTTACGAGTGCATTAAATATGATCATGTGGTTCACAATAGGGCTCTATGAAGAGAATGATTAAATGCAATAATATTTGAAAGAAATATTCTTCGCTTCATATTTTCTAAGATTGTTGCGTGAAGTCGAATTTTGTTCTTAAGTAAAATTAGCAACACAAAATAATTACGAGAAATTATCATTTACAATTCCAAGCTGTGTTACGAAGGCAATGTCAATATACTTAACAGTCCTTTCTTGCTGGGAGGTAGGATTTTAGTCTAGTTCACGTGGACAATGCCGTGGGCAAATATCTATTTATATCATCGATGCGTAATTATATCTTTGTTTTTCTTCGTAAAGCCTGAGCACGTTGCAACACTGCATTATACGTCATAACTATCTCACAAGTGGGTCGATACAATTTTGTTGAGTGCCTTTTAAAAAAGGGACATGAAGTGGAACAATTTATAGCCTAGCCATAGCCTGATACGCTATTCTGCTACTAGCAGCAGAATAGTATACCAGGCTATGTAAAATAATAACTAGTTATATACCTGGAGAATGAAATAATTTTAAAAATAACGAACTTTAAAAAACCATTTTCGGTTAAACAAAACTACTTAGAGAATAACAACAGATTGAATACTTTCATCTCATGTTATTATATATAATAAATATAATAAATAATACGTTGCTCTGACCCCAAAGTAAGTAACTAAACCACTTGTGTTATGGAAATCGTAAACAACGATGGTACCACAAACACCCAGACCCGAAACAATGTAGAGGTATAAAAGTTAGTTATTCTACATTTACCCAGCCGGGGATCGAACCTGGGTGTTACACACATGATCATCTTTTATTATGCGTATCTACTTTATAGGGATCCTATCGCGGAAAAATCCTATGCATTTTGGTCGATTAGAAAATCATTTAGTATTTTCACATTGTCACTTGCTTGAATTGATGATGGTAAAATGACTCTTTAATATACACTGAAATTAAAAAATATCGGCTCCTTGTGCATGTTTGTTTATTTACAATTGGACTGGAAGTTTGAAAGTTTATTGAACTTTTTAAATATAACTCATGCGGGGAATTAATAAATTGTAAGTTTTCATACGCGTTTGATGACAGCATTGACATTTTATTTCGTATGCACGGAAATAAAATAACGTTTTAAAATAAACATACGTCTAATTTGAACTGTTTGTAAAGTATAAGTATATGGCGATTTATAATCTAGTATAAAGTCGCAGGTAGTCGGCGAATGTAGGGACTAGTTATTGAATTCAATTGGACTTACTTTGGATTTCAACCCTTTCCAGTTTGTCTTCGGCTCTTTGAGCGAGTTCTAAAGGACTCTCTATATGGTAGAAGATGCTAGCTCCCACCAGAAGATACATGATGTGTAACGCCAGCATACATGCTAATTGTTTCTTGGACATCATCTTGACTAGCTTTTAAATACTTAATTTACTTTTAAAAATAAGTTATCACAGTTCCTTTCATAGGTCCAGAACGATATCACTCAATCACAACATTTAACTTTGTCCTTCCGTTCGGTAAAACTAACTGAAGCATCAGAAGTATTAAAATTTCAAGAGTGTCAGTGAAACGATTCCAACATATATAAAAAATGTCGAAACTTTTACTTTGACAGAACATGATACCGCGGTCGTCATTGAAAATAAAAACAATAAGGCACTTTGAGTTTAAGTTGCAACTGGTTGGTCGAAATAAGAAAACTCGGAAAAAGAAAAGTGTTGATAAGAAATGGAGACACTTCCCGATTACGACGTTCGGCTGTGGCGGTTGATGCGATCGAATGATTTTCCCGGCGCGCGCGCCGCTGGAGAATCGCGCGCAGTCCGCGATCACGTCCTTTTTTTATACGACTAGCTCTAAATGTTTGACTGACGACAACTCGCATTAACTCATCGTAAAGGATAATAAGTAAGGTTATTGCGTACTGTGAATGTGTGGGTACGGTGACGCAGAGACGGTACTAACTTTGGGGAAAGATTTTCGTTTATGATGTGGGATTATACAGGATTCAACATTTGATAATGATCGTCTTTGTGAAGAGAGCATTACATCATGTTATCTGATAGCGAATTCTTCCAAATTAAAGTATACACAGTATGTACATGTAAATATAATGCGTCAAGCATTTGATGCTCCTTGGCGAAACTAACAGTTGACTCTAGACTATAATTCCGAATTCACAACGTAACTATCAAGATTCAGCTTGTTTCACTTATTTTTTTTCATGAAAATGCGAAATAATTATTGAAAACGTAATTTTAATAGATTTTATTATTACATACTTTTCTTTTTTTAACAGTCAAAATTCTCTGAATGTGAATAATATTAAGTACTTAAACATTATACTACGTTAAAACGATTCGGAACATCAAGAACGAAATAGATGGCATTATATAGTTTACATAGCGTTATCTCTTTCCTATTTTTAGTAAGGAATAGACAATATTGGGAAATCATTTGTTCTTTCAATCACTTTAGCAATAATACATTACTTGGTTGATAGGCTTGTCATGGTACGAATATGAGTAATATTATAGTAAGCTTACTTTAAGCTTACATTGAAATAAGATTGTTTTTGGAAAGGTTACGGTAGGCTCCCAGGTCTCCTCAAAAGAAGAGGGGTAAGGCCACAGTTCGCTACGTTAGCTCAAATGCAGGCTAGGGATTTCACAAGTTTTCCAAAGATTGTTAACTTTCTTCGGCATGCAAGTTTTCATAACAATATTTTCTTTCACTATTAGCGAGAGGTATTGCAACTAAACATTCGCAAATATATGTAATTTGCACACTTCGCGTAATAAGGTCACTTAAGCAAAATGAAAACTTTTCAGGTGAGACTTTTAAACATTCTATAAATGAGATTACTCTATGACTTTTTATTGCTTTTATTACCTGGCTCTACCCAGAACACTCAGACGAAAACCAATTCAGAAAACTTCATTCCCAAATTGGTCCTACCGGGAATCGAACAGGGACCTCCTCGTCTGACGTCCATGATGTAAACCATAGTGTCACGCTGGGTTCGCGTAATTAAATAGAAAGCTCGGTCCATATGATTATGGAAAAGAACAGGTAATGTAAAGGCGTGAGAGCTGTAACAAAACAAAATAACGATATAATAACAGATACAATGGTATGAAACACTCCATTACAACGGATTAACATTCAATGTAATCAAACTTACCCCAAAAGGGCCTGTATTCGTACTAATACATTTAGGTTACATAATTTTCAATGGTATATTTGGTTAGAATTGTATAATGAAGGCGAGCACGTGTGTTCGCTTCGGAAATTTAGTAGAGACTGGCGATGGAAAGAAGAAAGTAAGAGTGACGAGGTAAAGGAATTGAAGAACGATTCAAAATTTCAAAAGTACAAGTACAAGTGGCCAGGAACAAGGGAAAAGGGTAATAAAAAGGTGGGATGACGATGAAAGAGGTAGCATCGTCACAACTTATGTTTTTTCCCTTCAAAAGTATGTATTTTATTTTGATATTATTATTTATTCATTGTAATGTATATGTACACATATGGTTCCATTAGTACTAATTATAATAGTGTATTTATGAAGATATTCTCTGGTTGCATCCCTTTTGCATATCCAATATTTTATATCCTAAGGATACTTTAAAGAAATTGATATACAGCAATAAGGTCACCTGCTGTATAGTAACTTACTATTTTTACACCTATAGTAGTATCATTGTAATTTTAAGTGTAATGAAGAATTTCATTAATTAATATTTAGTATACAATTTTTTATTTAATAGCATACTACTGATGGTAATAACGCACACACTCAACGTACACATTCAACATAGCCCCGCACTAGGGAAACCCTGTGTCGCGGGTGCCATGGACACACACATACACAACCACAAACTACGAGGGAAATAAATTTAGGCCATATAAATATTTCTCCCGGCCCGGGAATCGAACTGGGGACCTCTGCGTGGCAGTCCGGCATTGTAACCGTTCGGCCACGGAGGCAGTTGCTGAATTAATTGTATATAAAGTTCGGAAAAAAAAACTAGTCTTACATAATTAACATAATAAAAATTAAAAACAGTTAGAACTCTACATACACAAGAAGATAATCGGTTAACTACACACGTAAATCTTTTATCTCTAGAACAACACAGATAGCATTTATTTAGTAGATACTAAATAATATCATTGAAGGTAACAAGTATGTATATAAACAGGTACTCACTGGCAAATATTTTTCAATAAATAGTTAGGTAATTAGAAACTTACTTGTGTTAATGTGAATTTATTGCCTATACATTTATTTTTGCAAATCAATATTTCGTGGATTTATAGAGCGCTGGCTAGTATCCGCGACCTCGTGTGCGTAGTATAAGTGCTTACGTACAGTAGAACTTCTTGTGAAAGAGTTCGTCCAGGGAAGTACCTGGCAGCAAAAATAGGTAGTGAATGTACTCATATTATTATGAGCATTACTGCGTTCCGGTTTTGAAGGGTAAGGGTGCTGGTGAAATTACAGGCGCGTAAGACTTGTAAACTTATGTCTCATGGCGACAGGCGCAGCGGCAATGCCCCTCAGATCTTTGCGATTAAAAGCTGTTAGTGGCACTGCACGTGTGTAACACTTGATATTATAAAAAAGAAATATTATAAATAAAAAACTCATTTTCATGGAGTTATTGGTTCTCCATACAAATTTTTATCCCCTGTTTCACCCCTTTTAAGATTTATTTTTGTTACAAAAAGTCTCCTAGGTACCATCTATTTTTAAACCAAAATTCATCAAAATTGGTTCAGCGGCTCAACAGACACAGTTACTTTCGCATTTGTAATATTAGTTTGGATAAGCTTTTAGGGCTATATTTTCAGCAATTCCAAAGATACGGTAATAAAAAAGATCTTACAATACCGCCAAATTTTACGAATATGCAATTATAATAAGAATTTATGTGGTACAATTGTGATTCACGTATTATCTGCAATTAAGTTCTATAAAAAGTAGATGACTATGATTGTGTGCAAATAATATTTAGATTGGTTGTGAAAACACGATTTTTTTTTAATACGTTTCGCACTATCTTTGAAGCACTTACATAAGTAGGAACAAGATGGCGCTTTTTGAATTCATTCACTAAATAAAGTAATTTACAACAGAGATATAATAACATACATATGATAATAAAAGAAACACACAGGCAAATAAATTGTAAAACGTAAATGTTATCTTGGAGCTAAATCATAGTAATTTTTAGTTACTTACATATCCCAGTTATTCCACGTGGTTTTAGATTTTTTTTTATGATATCAACTGACATGACGGGACGAACAAGCTGTAAGTGACACTCCTATTCATAGCAGCTGCAGTTCCACTCAGAGCTTTAAATCGCCAAGATCTCACAGACACTGTCACAGGGATACATCCCAAATATAAGCCGACAAGTCTCATGTGCCTAGAATTTCACTAGGACCCTTAGCAATCCAGCAGTAATGCTCACATTACCTATTTCTGCTTGGCGGCTCAGAAAGAAGCTCTACCGCTACTATGTTAGTTCTGTTAAACCGCACATCCAGGTTCTGCAATACGTAATTTTTGATTTTCTGAGGTCATATTGTTATAAAATATAGAGGTATAGAAAATGTTTACTTATGAAATATTAGTATCAAGTCTCAGATCAGAAGTCAGAGTTTTTGAGTGTCGGTCTTTTTAAAATGACTGGTTCAATAGAGTCACATGTAATCATACGTCAAAAGTGCCTCTATCACATGAAAGTAGTAGTAGTAGTGTTCTTTGTGAAAAAGTTCGTTCTCTTTGTGAAAGAGATCCTCAGATCTTTGTGATTTACAGTGGCACTGTAACTGTTATAGACTGGCATGTCGTTTACGACCAGGCGCACGACTTGTTCATCCCGTCACTTAGTATTATAAAAAATAACACGAACCACACGAAACAACTAACGTATCTGCAATTTTTATTGGGAAACTCTTCTATAAACACAAAAAGTTGTCGACTAATTTCGTTCGTAGAATCTCGAAACCTTTCTCTTGAAAAGTTGTCGTTTTTCAGATGTTATTTTTTTTATATAATACACTCCCGGACACATAGTTCGAGCCACCTCGCATCAATGTTAAAAGTCCTAAGCCTAAACAATGTTCGATTGATCAAGAACTATCCTACGCAATTTTGAAACTAGTATATTAAAAGTATTTTGTATAAGTCCTTTTTGGAAATTTGGACTTACAAAACCGGGGAAATCTTTTTCTTCGACGATAACATTATTTTTTATTTTCTAGCCCTTTAAGGCAAAAACGCGAGGTGGCTCGAATTTTGTGTCCGGGAGTATATTTAGTGATAGGACGAATAAGTCGAGCGCCTGATGGTAAGCTACACTCCTATCTATAACAGTTGCAGTGCTAC